CCCCCCCCGGCCTGTTACTTGCGGTGGCCTGCGTGTCTCTGCTTCAGCTAGCCGAGAAGCTGGAAGTCGGTGCTCCCCTGCTCCATCTCCTGCATCCTTTTTCCCCCCTTTAATTCTAGGAGTAGCTGCGCAAAAACATTACGCTTGTGTTTTTCTCTGGATTCGTTTTAATCTTCTAGACATGCTCCGTGTGTCGACAGTACTCCGTCAGATAAGGCCGGTGTCCAGAGCACTCGCCCCCCATCTAACGCGAGCATATGCAAAAGATGTTAAATTTGGAGCAGATGCTAGAGCTCTTATGCTTCAAGGAGTAGATCTTCTAGCAGATGCTGTAGCTGTCACCATGGGGCCAAAGGTAATGGAAGGTTTTGCATTTATTTTACCTTAGCGCTTCGACCTGATTGAAAACACCATAGTAGAAACCCGTGGTTAGTTTCCCCTCGGTAGAGCTGCATGATTGCCAACTGAAACACAAAGATGTAGGGGTATGGACAGACTACTGCAAGCAGCCACGTTCTCATTCTTGTCACCTGAACCATGATGGTTGTGCATGTGCTTTTCACAGCAACAAAATTAATTGGATCGCTGTGAAAGGTGCAGTATGTTGGTTTAAACAGTTTGAAGGTTAAGGGGATGTGCATAATAGGTTACCGTGGCTCAGTTGATGGCCTGTAACAATATGCTAGAGAATTTAACTATCTGTGTCGTGAGGTGGGTTAATTAGCATGCGATTTTTGTTGTTGTTGTTATTACAAATTACGATTTTGTACCGCTTCACCTTTTAGTATTAACAAGGTGAAAGAAATACTGAAAGCGTAGTGCTGAGTTTTCAGTTGGCTGGTAAATGTTACCACTTGAAGTGAAATTCCATGGCAGTGGCATTCATTTATGTTGCTTATAGGACAGAATATAGTGTAGGACTCCCTGTAAGTTGTTTCGGAGAGCTAGCTACTGTATTCTGCATAGTCATGCAATGTGTAGCAAGGCTTGAAATGAGGTTCCTCTTTAAGGAAGGGACACTGATTTTCTTTGGGCTCACAGGAATATCTGTTCCGTATAATAATGGCACATGCATGGTAGCTCTTCTCGAGGCTGCTCGACCTCTGTAAAATTTGTTCGTGTATTTCTTGCACGTTTTTGGTGCTCTGTTAGCTTTATTCAAAGGCAAAAATGCTGTAAGCTGAGCAGGTGAAGGTTAAGGAACAGTGACGTCAGCAAGCTGTGGCTGTATTCCATAAAGGAACAAAGTTTAAGTGCAATCAGTTAATTTAACTCTTGTTTTTTTGGATTAGGCTGCTTTGTGAATGCCTAAGCTTAGTTCTAATGCACTGGTTAAAGGGCAGGTCCTGATGCAACTTACTGTAACCTTGTGGGGTTTTTGTTCCAGCGTTCTCACTTTATCTGCTGTTCTCCGTGTATTTGTAGAAATTTGTAGAAATAGGGATTGTACTATAATGCCTGATTCTGCTTCCAGCAGTTTTAAGAAATATCACTCTGGTGAGGAAACTTCCCTTTGGCATTGTTCTATATTTAAAGAAATGCGGTTTGTAGTCTCCCATGATCTTTTTGATACTGCTGCCAACATGCTGATTACTTTGTCAGAACTAGCTTATGGGACTGCTTGGATTCTTGATATGCGGGACCATCCAAAATGCATGTGTGTGTACTGGTGGTGTTCCTTTTTTCAGAAACGCAGAAAAAAAAGTATTCGTGGAGTGCAGTTCCTTTAGTGTGATAGGATTTAAGCAGATTTTGTTGTGCCATTCTCCTCATAACTACCAAACAAACGTTTGGAATCAGACCATGTCAAAATACAGGGTAAAATTAAGCAAAATAAGGAGAGACTACGTGAAGAACTTGCCAGTAGCAGGATCCTCCAGAGGTAGTTTTCTTACTCTTGAGGCGCTTTTGGGTTTAGGACAAGTGCAGGTCAAATAAAATAGCACTAAGAAGTCAGATTATGCATTATTTTGGCGTAATTGTTTTGTAGCACAGAGTTAGAATTACGTAAGCTCTTTCACAAGTTCAACATCACTAACTTAAGCTTAATGTTTCTTTTGCAGTTTCTAGGGCTAGTTGTGTTCCAGAAGCAGCGTAGTCTCGTGCATGACAGGAATCCAAAGTCAGTTAAATCATTGAGGCAGATGTGAGTGGGCTCTGTGCAAGTGAGGAACACAGTGCACCATAGCGGTAGCATGCTGTATGGGAGTCCTTAGCTAGCTAGCTAGCTTGGCACGTGATCCAGATTCTGGTTGGAGCTGAAGCCGCGCTGGCCCGTGATCAGCTTCGGCAGTGTCTCGGCAGGAGCTAGCGTGGTCGGCTCTGAGCTGGACCTGACAGGCCAGGTGAGGGGACTTGTGCAGGGTCAGCTGGGAGGGACAGTGGTGAGGTGGGGCGGTTACTGTCCCTTCCCCTCTTCCAACAGCTCCAGCTGTCAGGATAGCTGAAGAGTTTCAGGGCAGCAGTGGACCAGAGGTGGCTCCTTGCATCTCTGCTGCCTCCAGCTCAAACTGGAACATGATTGATTGGGGCAGCTATTCAAGCTATTGAGTTCATATCGGAACAAGTAATCCTCTTGCGCGGGTGCATCTGCCGTGTGTTCCCTGCATGGTCCATATTAACTCCGTCTGTTCACGTTGCATAGGGTAGTCCAGCTTTGTAGTTGACTGCAAGGGCGGTCTAAGAGAAGAAAGGCTTGTTAACTTGCAGTGTCTGAGAAACTATTGCAACACATTAACGCGCATTTGTTAAGTATTCTCCATTCTCTTCCCTAATCGCTGATAAGGTTTGCAAGTCTCTGCTTTTTTAATTTTTTTTCCCCAGAACCTGCAATGAATTGAGCTTTGTATTGCCCTTTTTCAGTCACAAACTTTTTATTGTGACTTGATGGAAATTCTGCAGATTTAGTTCATTATGTTGCTATATTTCAGTTTTAGGGGAAAATATCAGTGTTAGAAGCTCTTAAATTATTTTTTTCTGCAAGGCTAGTCTTATTTTAGTTGCAGCCCTCTGAGTCTGTGGTATTAAGCATTATGGCTGGGGAATGAAGCCCCATTCTGTGAAAGTATAAACCTTTTGAACCATTTTTCCAGTTTTGCAGAACCTTGGTAATGTATGTGCTTGAAAAAAGTCCCAGCTGAAAGTTCTGCAAGGTCATGTTTCTGTTCAGCTGTGGCTGTTCAAAAGGGTCTTCATCTTCAGTTGAACTCTGAGTAACATGTTGTGGGTTGTGTGGCTTTGATTTAATATTTGTTCTTTGTTGCCTTAGGGAAGAACAGTTATTATTGAACAAAGCTGGGGAAGTCCCAAAGTGACAAAAGATGGTGTGACAGTAGCAAAGGCAATTGACTTGAAAGACAAATACAAAAATATTGGAGCCAGGTTAGTTCAAGATGTTGCCAACAATACAAATGAAGAAGCAGGAGATGGTACCACTACTGCAACGGTGCTTGCACGTGCTATTGCCAAGGAAGGCTTTGAGAAGATCAGCAAAGGAGCTAATCCAGTAGAAATCAGGAGGGGTAATGTTTCTTCCCTTGTTTTTAATGTTTAATCACTGTCTGTTTACTTTTCATATCCCAAATTTGACTGGCTTCCTGAATTAAGTTGCTCTCTTTTTGAAGAGCCATATAAAGTTTTATATGAAGAGGGATGCATAAAGAACCCACTTGTTTCTGTGTGTTACTTACTCTGAACAATTCTTCATTTTTCTAATCTTTTTACTATTTTATATATGGTGAACTTGTTTAATTTGAAGTATGTCACACCAATTCCAAAAAATGATTGCTAGGTATACAAATGACAATATGGAACTAGAACTGCCAGTTGCTTGTTTTTGAACATGCAAACTTGATGCATTTTTGTAATGTGGACTTCGGTTTGAAACTTAACCTGTTTGTGGTTTGTCGTTTGGTTGGTTTTGGTTTTTTTTCCTTCTATGCTGTATACCTGGTCTTGTTCACTCACAAGTATTCTGTTCATCTTTAGGGGTGATGCTTGCAGTTGATGCAATCATAGCTGAACTGAAGAAGCTGTCTAAACCTGTTACAACTCCAGAAGAAATTGCACAGGTAAAAAAAAAAGAAAATACTTAAACCAAGTTTATATAGCTATTTTTCAGAAAAAGTTTTGTGAAGTCAGGTTTAATGGAGTTGGGTTGTGTGTATATGACACCTGGGTATTTTTCTTTATATCAGGATTCAGAGTATGTTTCATTGAATGATCTTTATGGTAACACTTTGATTTTCTTGAGTTACTTAAAATTCCCAGTATTCTGCCTACAATTACACTGCTACAAGTTAGTTCAGAAGTAGGTAGTTTTTCTCATCTTGAAGTTTCATTCCAAAATGTGGTCTTAAAACATAAATTAGGGAGAACTCAGAAAGCAAAGATGTGTTTGTGGATGGGAGGTGATGGCAGACTTCTGGGAGTGTGGTGGATCTCCTGTGGGAGGTTCAGGTTGAGGTGAGTGCCCAGCTGGGTCTCAGGCACCAGGTGTGTTGGCCTTCGTGGCTTATTTCTCCCCACAGCTGCGGATTCAGATGGCCTGTGTGTGCTGCCTGAGCCCAGTGCTTGAGCTGCCCTTTTAATGGTGTTCTTGGGTCCTGGTGTGGGTGTGCCATGGTCAGCTGCTCTGTCTTGTCAGGAAATGTGAGAATTGAAAATGGTTGGTTTTCTTTATAGTGAGGAAACAGATCACTTGTATTGTGAAATGAGATTAAATGGGTTACTGTTTCAGGTTGCCACAATATCAGCAAACGGAGATCAGGAAATCGGCAATATAATCTCCGATGCAATGAAAAAAGTTGGACGAAAGGGTGTGATCACTGTCAAGGTAAGAAGTGGCCAACATACGGACTAAGTGCAAAGTGACCGTCTCTTCTCCAGTTAGGGCTGGCTTTTGTGGCATGTGATGTAGCTGCTGCTGCTCACATACGATATCCCACCCTAATTCCTCCCTCCCCAGCTCCTTTAGATCAGGGTTTGGTCGCTGTTCCCTCTTACAATACTTTTCTTTTGAAGGGAAGCACATAAAACTGACGTGTGGTGCAGACCCTTTCATTCCGTTGTGCATAGTATGCTAAAACTATACTTGTGCTTTTGGTAGTAGATAAGGGATCTTTAATGTATACTTTCTTGTATCTAAACAGGATGGAAAAACTCTAAATGATGAATTGGAAATCATTGAGGGTATGAAATTTGACAGAGGCTACATATCTCCATATTTTATTAATACAACCAAAGGTGAGTTAACAATAACACATGTCAAATACCTCACAGTGGCTCTTGTAAGTTAGAAATAATGGTACCTGTTGTAAAGACTTTACAATCTGTTACACTATGTACCACAGCAAATAGGACAGGGGGGTCCTTCCCCATCAGCCACTCTTAACTCTTGGTAAAAGCTTGGAGTCTTGGGGTTTTTTTTCTTCTCTGCTAAGTGTGGACTATGTCCATGCTAACATCAAGCTGGCCCTGCAACACTCCAGCACAATGTAGAATTGAAAGTGGAGTCTTGGAGAAGACAATTTGTCTCTCTCTTTAATGCCATTGAAAAGTGCAACAGTTGCTCCAGAGTAGCTCCTTAAGTTTGAGAATGCTTGATATGTTTTTATAACTGGATTGTTCAGATAATGTGTGTTGTTTCTACAGGGCAGAAATGTGAATTCCAGGACGCTTACGTTCTAATCAGTGAAAAGAAAATTTCTAGTGTACAGTCTATAGTTCCAGCTCTTGAAATTGCCAATTCTCACCGCAAACCTTTGGTCATTATTGCTGAAGATGTTGACGGAGAGGCCCTCAGCACTCTTGTCTTGAACAGGTGAGGCTTAAAATCCTTACTTTTAGACAAATACTTTTTTTTTTTTTGCATTTTCAACCTTTTAAAGGAATACATACAAAAGTGTGTATTTGAATTTGCTACGGTGAAGTGCTGTTGTCTGTTCTCTTACCAAGTACCAAAGAAGCAGTAGTTTTTATACATTGCCATACTTTGCATCAGTTCGGACAGAACTTCCATTGTTTCCTAACTACCTTTTTGAGCAAAACCAGCTCAGTTCATGAAGGTCTTGTTGTTTGCTTGTTAGAGCTGTGTACTGCAATAATTGGTTTTAGTAATTAGACTCGTTCTCTGAATACATGTGGAGTGTTGCTCTCTGAATTCTTCTCTTCAGACTGAAAGTTGGTCTTCAGGTTGTTGCTGTAAAAGCACCAGGTTTTGGCGACAACAGGAAAAACCAGCTTAAGGATATGGCAATTGCTACTGGCGGTGCTGTAAGTAATGATGCTTTAACTGGCTTTTTGCTCTAAGAAATGCTAATGGTATTTAAGGTGGTAAAGAATGTATATTTTTAGGTCCATGGCTTGTATTTGCTGTGTTGCAGGCTGTGTCCTGTTCTTTCAAATATGTAACAGTAACTCTAATGTTTGAATCTTGTAATTCTTTTTAAATGCGAACATTGATAATTGCTGTGTAATACAGCGCTGACCAACCATGAGTAATACGTCTTTTTAACTGACTGAAGTTACACGCAATTTACTTGCAGCATTTAGGTTGTTAAGGCAAAGGAGGAACTTCAAGGGAATTTCTTTAGAGATATCAAAGCTTTCTTGCTGCCTTATAAAACTGATTGTCTCACAGTTGCCCAGACTCGAGTATGGCAAATACAATTCTTTTAAATGTTTGGAATAGACTGGATAATTTTCTGCTGTACTCAACTTCTCAAATAGTTGATGAGCTGATTAGTCTCCCTTTATGCTGCTTTTTTTTATACACACTTCAAAATCATAGCATGATACTGGGATCCAAAGTTGGTTATTGAAATGAAACTTAATGTTTAAGCTAACTGGAGCACAAAGTAACAAACCTGCAAACACTATTCTAAAGTCAGTTTAGTGCCTATATTCATAACTCCTCGAAATACAAGGAAGACTCTGTAACACAACTCTACTTTCCAGGCACTTTGAATCGGTGAGTTACGCTAGTCAGTCATGAGCAAGAAGTTGGCAGCTCCTCATTCTGTGGGGGCCAGTTTGTGAGGTACTTGCACGCCTGGACTGTGTTAGGAGAAGGGAAGAGTTTCATTCAACTCGGCTGCAGTAGTGTGACTATTTTGCACTGTTAGCCTGTTGTATGTGTTCGTGTGTCTATAAATAGAAAATCTGTGTATGGAGAGCTGTGAATTCCAACTTTTCATGTAATTTGTTTCAGGTGTTTGGAGAAGAAGGTTTGAGCCTAAATGTGGAAGATATTCAGCCTCATGACTTTGGTAAAGTTGGAGAGGTCATTGTGACAAAAGATGACACCATGCTTCTAAAGGGCAAGGGTGAAAAGGCTCAAATTGAAAAACGTATTCAAGAAATTATCGAACAGCTAGAAGTTACCACAAGTGAATATGAAAAAGAGAAACTGAATGAGCGATTGGCCAAACTCTCTGATGGAGTAGCAGTATTGAAGGTGAGAAGTTGAACCTCTTAGGAAAGGGGTGGTATTGGTCCTTTACTAGCAATCTAAGTTAACCGCTGTGTGGTTGTCTCGTAATCTTAGCCATTGATTTAGGAGTTTGGCTTCTTACAGTGCTATGCTTTGGTATTAAGAACTTGATGAAATAATAAACTAAAACTGTGTGTTTAGGTTTCTTGAGTGCTGAGGTACAAAAGAACGCTGCTGGTATGGGAGAGGATGGGTTTGCTGTAGCACTTTTCAGTTAATGATTCCAGTTGGCCATTTCATTTTGCGGCAGCGGTTCCGTAGCCAGCAGTGCTCTCCTGCCTGGGCTCCTTGTGCAGACCTTGATGTGTGGCTTGCGTGTTGTAGGTTGGTGGCACAAGTGATGTTGAAGTGAATGAGAAGAAAGACAGAGTTACTGATGCCCTGAATGCGACCCGTGCTGCCGTAGAGGAAGGCATCGTTCCAGGTGGTGGCTGTGCATTGCTTCGCTGCATTCCAGCATTAGATGCCTTAGCTCCAGCCAACGAAGATCAGAAAATTGGTAAATTACTTGAACATGTGTGTGGAAGTGTTAAGAATAGACTTTCTTCTGTCCTGAGGCTTTGTAAGATTAAATACCAATTGCTTTCAGTGTGTTTTTAGTTACTTGATCTTTAGAACCTTGTATCGCCTTGGTATGGCGGTCTCTGCTTTACAGTGGGAAGGAGCTTTCGCTGTGTCCCTGACTTGGATGTGAAAGAGCTAATACCAATAAAGCAGCAGTACCCCCTGCAAAGAATTGCAAACTGTTGAAGGAAGAATTGAGTTGACGGTTACAACCATTGCAGGCAGGCATAAAAATTGAAGAATGCTTAAGAGACTGTGTGGCACATCAAATGGAAAAAGGCTTTGTGCCATGTTACAGTAATAATACTCCTTACTAGCTTTTGCAGAAGTAAAACTAAAACGTGAATATCCTACAAATATTTTGGTTGTTGGCAAATGTCAAGTAGCAGAGAACTTTTTTTCCCTGGAACTGATACAAATAGCTTATGTTCTTGCTCAGAGGGTTCTCTCTTTTTGTGTTGACCTCTGGCACATGAGCGTGTGCCTTGGCAGTAGGAGCAGTGTATGTATTATGTAATGCTAAACATCCTTTTTCTTATAGGCATTGAGATAATAAAGAGAACACTGAAAATCCCAGCAATGACTATTGCAAAGAATGCAGGTGTTGAAGGATCATTAATAGTTGAAAAAATCCTGCAGAGTCCATCAGAGGTTGGCTATGATGCAATGCTTGGGGACTTTGTAAATATGGTAGAAAAAGGAATCATAGACCCAACGAAGGTAACCTAAAATAGTCTTAATTCTCAGCTTCCCTCCCTCCCACCTCACATGATAGTCAGCAGGTACTCAGTTATTTCTTTTCTATTTTTAGGTTGTGAGAACTGCTCTGATGGACGCTGCAGGTGTTGCGTCTCTCTTATCAACAGCAGAAGCAGTGGTGACTGAAATTCCTAAAGAAGAAAAGGAGCCAGCAATGGGAGGAATGGGTGGGATGGGTGGAGGAATGGGAGGTGGCATGTTCTAATTCCTGGGATAGGGATGCATCATGAGCTGTGCTGTTTAAGACTGACAGTTCTGACTTCAAAAACTTCAGCTGTCAGTGCAAGAGGGTGGATAGTGACTGAAGTGAGGCTGGTGTTTAAAAGAATCACTGTAACCATCAGTTACCGGATTTCATTTAACACATGTGTAATTGTTTACAGTCATTGTCCATGCCTACAGATAATTTATTTTGTATTTTTTGAATAAAGACATTTGTACATTCCTGATAACTGGGTGCAAGATCCATCTACCGAGGTCCTGATTTAAACTTAATTAAGGCACTTGATATTCTGTTTCAGAGTTTATTGGTGCTTGCCAGTACTAGGAAGAACTTGGAAGCCACTGTGCGTGAGACTAGACAATTGTGTACAAAGTAGGCAAATATACAGTTATGTGACCTTTATGTAATAAAACAAACTGCTCAAAAGTTACAAAATGTATCACCTTATTCACCTGCACACAAAGCCATAGTCATGGGAGAACCCTGACAATCTGCTGCTGCTTCTAACATTTACTAGAAATCTGACACTTGTGCTTGGAAATGACAGGCCATTTCCCTCCAGGAAACATTCCTTTGGCTAGAATGTTTCTCAGAAATACAAGTGACTTCAATTTTGGCAAGAAATATCTAAGGTGAACTGACACTGCAGTTCTTTGAAATATTAAACAATGCAATGAAAGTAAGGCACGTGCTCTGGACTTTGTTTTGCCCTGTCTATACTGCTTGTTTCCTGTGCTGGAACAGGCCCAGTGCATTGTTCACAGTCTTGTGGGAGGGAAAGTGCGCTAAGGGTAGGAGATGGGTAAGTCATCCTTGTTAAGAAAGGGATGTGGGGTTTTTAAATACTTCTCTTGCTCAGGTGTGGTATGTGGTTACCTCCTTGCCTTGAGACTTCCAGTCTTGTCTTCCAGCTTTCTGGTAGTGGGCTCCAGGATTTAGTTTGAATTATTTTGCACTAGATGCTGCTTTACCCTTAAAAGTGACAGCTTTGCCACCTAATGTGTTCTTTAACCTGACCCAGCCTGTTGCCTAAACTCTTTTCTGCTTGCTTTTCAACTCTGCTTTCCAGACTTCAAAATAGTGGTGTTCCCAGACTTGTGTATGTTTATCTCCGATTGACTCAACATAGGAAACTGGTTTACAACTTCACAGTGCTGTAAAACTGACCTCTTAATCCAGCTGTCACTTTCCCCAGCTTTGTACCTTTAATCAGAACTATCCTTCATAGATAGGATGTGTGAAATTTCAATTGCTCTTTCCTGAAAACTATCTCTTAAGTTATCAGCCCTGTCTGAGACCGCTTCAGGGCTGTCTTTGTCCAGAACCCTCCCTTCCTCTGCTATTTAATACACTATTCTGTAGCAGCCATGTAGATGACAGACACTTTGGAGAAAGGACCAGCTCCAACACCTGATGTGAAGCTTTACCTAATTTCAGTAAGGAAATGGGGTAGTGCAAGGCAGCATATAGACAGGATTTTAAATCGGTTAAAACTTAACATTTCTTCAGAGACTAGAAAGAGAATACTAATGTCAGGAAGAGAACTACTGAAAATGAATTTAATCAATATGGCTGGTACCATCATAATGGACTGATAATTAAATGGTAGTGTGGTACTGAAAAAAAAATCTTAAGAACTAAGATTAGCTCTCTATTGTATGTTTTTTAATGACAACTGGCCTTGGGTGTGCTTGTCTGCAGTAAGTGGAGGACATCTTGTTCCTTCCTTCCAGGGAGGACAGCACTGTAGTACAGAGTGTTGTGAATCCCTGCCCGAGTTCTCAAAGAGGTAACATTTACTTGGTTTAAAGTTGTGTTGGAACTGGGAAATGCTTGCATTAGACAAGATATATCTACCATAACCTAACTGCGATGTGTAACGGCAAAACAGTGGCAGGTAGGCAAGTTGAACCTGCCCAACATACCTAAAGTGTCTAGAGCCCAGGCAGCTGAGAACCATGGGCTATAGCTGAAACTGCTACATTGCAATTACGGTGGTACTTATGTTTTGTGTACCCCTTATGTTTAACATCTGAAAACTCAGGAGTGTTCAGGCTGTGTTGTTTTTCCTGTTGCAGTTGCTGGTCAGAATTCAACAGCAGCTGGAGACTCCCGAGTTACACTTGTCGTTCATTTGGATTACAAGCGCCTGCTGCTTGATGCCTGACAAACTGTTCATACTCCCCAAAGCCAGAATGTCAGTTTCCCTTCTTGTGGCTGGGTTGACCGTTGATGCTGTTAAGTTAGATTCACACTACTAATAACTTAAACTTGAGTTAATATGTTACGATGCTGAAAAAAACATAAGCTTGGATAAGGCAGAACTTACACTGTGATTACACAAACCATTTGGCAAGTTGATGAACGGCAGCCTGAGATATGTTGTGTTACAGTAGCTGCCAATTGTCTGCTACTGATAACACTTTTTAAGTCGCACTTGATTGCAGCTTGAACTTTCTATATACACACATGGCCAAACAGGTGTGTTTGGTACGGTATGAAATCACACACAAAGGTCAGATATGAAATAGGTGCCCCAAAGGCAGAGCGTGGCACCTCTTGTACAAATGAAGTGTACAAACAAGTTTATAATTTGCCTTTTACGTGTGATGAACTTCATGAAGCATTAGCTCCCGAGGTATGCTTGTTTCTGGGCCATGGAGTTTGGATGCTCTTCTTTCAAAGGCAGCTACCATCTGCTTTACCACTTCATCAAAAAATAGCGTAGCCAGTTTTGAGTGTAGAAGTGAACGAAATTCAAAAGAAACCTGTTTAAAAAATAGAGAAAAAATAGTTTTTCCTGTATCTACTGTTGTAGTAAAATGCTGTTACAAATAGCCAACTTCATCAAAGAATCCAGTTAGTCTGTAAGTAAGCCGTGGGAGAGAGAACAGTTAAAACTGAGCTGTAGGGGAGGGTGTCTGCGAAGAAAAGCCTAATCTGTGGTCAGAGGTCCCTGAGCTTTTCCATTAGAAGAATCGTTCGGTTCTCTGAAGTGATAATTCCCATTTATCTAAATTAACTGTATTTTACTTAATATATGATGCATCACAAAATGTAAGTAAAAGATTTGGGATAATGAAAAGCTACTGACAAACAATAACTCAGTTACTTTGCACACAGAACTCACTTGGGGGACAAAAGTTGACTGAAGAAAATCCTGCATGGCAAGACAGAAGACTACAGGTAAGCTGCAGCAAACACAAGAGATATGTAAAAGCAGCTCAAAATAGCTACCTATTAAATACCAACATTTTTAATTAATCTTTCCATCTTGGTAGCTGTAGTTATGGTATGTTCAAACAAGAGCCATTTGCTGACTAAAGCTACAAATTTGGTTTTGTGTGCTGTACCTCCTACCTGAATGCCTTCTGCTCTTGACCTTTGCTGTCCTGACACAGGCAGTCAGGTTCAGAGTACAGGCATACTGGTTAAGTCCTCTGTACCAAGCCCTCGGGCCTCCTACTGCAGTGCTCAGAACTTAACTTCTGCGTTTTCTTTCAGCTACTGAATCTTGCAGTTAAACTGAAGCTACTGCAGCAGTTAACAGTTATGGCAGGGGCACAGGGAGCTGGCTTTCTCTCTCCACCCTCAAAAGAAAAGATCACTTTTATGTCAAACAGCCTTCAATTATGCTTTTGTGCTGTGCTGGCCTTCAGTCTAGTTAAATAAGGCTCCCTTAAGGCTATGTAATCACATTGTTTTGGAACACACAGCTTCCCAAAATGATTACAGAATTTTCAGGAAAAGAAATGGGTTGCTCTTCTGTGACTTTTACCATCACTCCTGCTATAGCATGTCTTTTGGACTGAGATTTAAGTATATTTGTCATTCCTGAGAAATCAGCAGATTAAATGCCAAACAGAGCAAATACAGCTTCTCTCAAATTGCTTCTGAGTAATGCATTTTAACTGTGAAACAGTAGCACAGAAGTAATTAAACTACTTGGACTGTAAGCCAAGTGTAGCTTCATTTACATTTGCTTGATCTCAAGCATCAGTAAAATTAACATGCCTTTTGAAAGTCTGAGAGTTGTCATTTAGAGCATTTAAGAGTTTTGCAGAACAGGGATTATGAGTTTGGCATCGAGTTCAGTAACTGTGTAAAAACTTGAGGTGTGGCATACATTTACAAAGTTTGCAGATGGTAAAAATGGTGTTGTGCTTCAATCTATGTACCAAATCATTTAAGAGCCAAAAACAAACGAGAAAAATTCCCTGCTGTATGTATATGTCTCCTGGAATCAGGCTGGCAAAACAGGATACAGTGTCTTGTGGGAACCAGCATAACCCAAACCTCAATTTACATTTTCTAAAGCAAGCAAGCATTCTTGAAATCAAAGTTTTCTCTTGAATATCTGTAATTGCATGGTATGTTTTGAGAAGTTTGTTATGAAATGCTTATCATCCCCATCTGCACGGGCCCAGAGGCAAGCAACACAGCAGGTTAGTAACTAGCAAGGGTTAGAGTCCTTAAGGACTTGCCTTTGTGAGGCAACCAGCGGCTCAGCTGGCTGCATTTACCAGGTAATGGGGTAAGCAGTAAGAAGTATCAATAGCATTTCCCCAAGAAAGTGAAAATATCCATTTTAAGTCCAGTTTTGACTCCCTTTAACTGAAGTTCTTGACCTGCTTGAAATGTCAAAAAGTGGCTTGAGGGCGGGGGGGGGTGTTTCCTCACAGACTCAGTGTTTAGTTTATAGGGTTTAAACACTTGCTTAATTCAAGTTTTCTCAACTGATTTATGGCTTGGGTTAAAAACTAGCTTAGGTACTGGTTAGCAGCAGGAACTGGCACTTATTTGCCTGGAGAAATTCAAATACCATGAGCAAATAACATGCAAACATTGTTGGCAAATCCCATGAGAGATGTATTCTTTTGAGTGTCTATAGATTCATTTTTACTGTTGAACTGTATGAAGTGCAACAGAGCAATAAGCTGAAAGTTATTAACCAACCCAAGGAGATTAACATGCTAGTTTACAAATATTACAAAAAGCTCTTTTTCCTACTTACAGAAGATAATATTTTAAAGAGAGTATCCCAGCAGATGGCAGCAGGATCAACCCATTTCTGTGTACTTTTGTAGCCTGTTCTGAACCCCAGCTTAGTTACGTGCTTAAAGCAACACCTACTCTTAACACTATAAAACGTAAGAAAAAAATGTGATGACAGACTAAATAGACAAAATGGAAAAGCAATAACCTGAGTGGAAAAAAACTTGTCTAGGAGTAACAGGCTAAATCAGATAGTGGATTTAAAAAGCAATAGTTTTGAGCTGCAGTGATATCCCATCACAGAGTAGAAAGACAGCAAAAATCTATTATACTGGTATTACAGAAGGAAGCAGTAAGACTTAAAATACATGAAAAAGTAAAACTGGAAGCCAAGAAATTAAATTGACCAAACTGCAGGCCAAACAGGACAGAGGGGAGAACACCTACCTTCTGGTACCCAGAGCACTTAGGTTCTAGAGTATTTAAAAGAAATAGCAAAATAAGTTTAGCAGTTCTCCCTCTGTATTTGACTGTCTAAAAACTTCAGCATGTTTACAATTGTATGGTGAGAGATACCAGTCCCTAGACTGTTTCGTGATATGCAGACACCTCACAGAAGACTGCTGTCTCTAAAGGACACTGTAGTGGTTTCCATGTAGTAAAGTTTGCAAAAAATTTTTTGGATAGTAGTGACTAAAACTAACTTGTTTTCTGTGTGTATGTGTTTTAAAAAAAATTAGTACCAGGCATTAAAAAAAAAAAGAAAAAAAGGCACAGCTGAAGGTACCATTTCCATGCCCTGTTCCTAGCATGTCGTTGTCTTAATTACAGTACTTACTGAAAAATCCAATGTACATGTCCTTGGATAACCAGGGATACCTGGGCTGAAACGCCACACCGTTTCCAAGTGATTAAATAGTTTTCCATCTGTGCAGGATGCCTAAAATAAAGTTTAAAAAGTCAAGCTACACCGAGGCTTTTGCAGATATGACAAATCAGTATTACTGAAGTTTTCATTTGCATTTTGTTAGACAGTGAAGGTCATGGTATAGTTAAAATTGTTCTTATAGTGCAGCTAGTATGAGATCCCATTTGTACAGTGTCATTTACAGCAAAATAATTTAATTACTTTTAAGGGAGAGGAAAAACTGTTGCATTGAGAGTCATAAAACAGATCTCTAGCGTGATGCATAGAACACCAAAATAATGCTAATGCTATATACCAGAATTTTGAACCACACTACTTTCAGCAAAGGACATGGATATTTACTGGGTTTGTATTTTTTTTTTTTTTCATTACATATATAGAATGTTTTATATACTGATATACAAACTGGTAGTCCTGGGCTATAGGAATGCTTAGCATCAAAACAAACCTGATTGAAGACAAACTCTAAACATCTTCTGTCACAAGATACTATTGTGATCAAGAACTACCACGAAGTCTGTAAGACTATACGTTCAAGTCCATAATCAGGTTATATGTTGGCTTTTAGTTACCGGCAAGCCACATATGATCCTCCTTTAAAACAATGAAGTATTTGCAGTAGTTGGCTTCATAGTTTTCACCACCATAGGGTCCTTATTTTTACTCATTTTGCTTTTAGCACATATAGCTAATTTTGTGTGGCTGTATTTATAATAGAAAAAGATTGAAAGACATATACTCCAAAATCATCCAAATACATAATCTCAGTTGGCTTGGAATATCTAGAGAGAATTTCTGTAACTTTTTTTTAACTCTTTTTTTTTACAAGTTCTTACTGTTACCACAAGCAGCTCTGCTCCAACAAGGCCACCTATGATGAATAGGTGTTGTCTGTGGTTTGAAACCCATGGTAAGGTAAGCCATCTCAAAGACTAATCAGCAGCACAAAAATACCTACATTTTTCTGCCCAGGAATGAGATGCAGTGCCTTGCTACTTCTACAGAAAGGGGAGGAGTAGAAGGAAGATTAGACACGAAGAGCTGGGCTTGCTTTCCTGCTGCTGCCAAAAGGGCAGGAAGAATGGGAAAATTGCCAGTGTGTCCCCCTTGCTCGCAACCTTATAAGTAGCAAACTCACTCTGTGCTTTCCTCTGTGGCAAGAGCTACTGCTACCATTCTGATTTTTCCATTGCTCAAGCACTGCTGCCGTAAGCAACAAATCTGTGCTCATTTTGTTGCCACCAGTAGCCCGCTATGTTAGACCACCATTCATGCTGCGTTTGCTGAGTTATTTCTGAGGACAGTGAAGTATTCCAAACACACAGTCACTTCTCTAGAAATGTTCCTACCATTATATGAACAAAATGTAAACTTCTAGGAAAAACAATCCCAGCAGAGAAAATGCTAATAAGTCTAGGAGGAGGAAATCTAAAGAAACTGTTCTCCTCACCACTTTCATGATCTTTTCTGAGACAAGAAATCCTCTTATGAGTGAATTGGAGGGAAAAAGAGTTGATAAGCCAATCTGATAGCTATGTAAAAGGAAAAAGCCAGTCTTGTCAGGGATGAGTGGAAAGGAAAAGCCTTTTACAAAGTCAGCATGTAAAATGCAGCTTTTCCATTGTAGCTGTTCAACTTTCTTAATAAAGGGAGAAAGGTATTCTTTTTTCTTTCCAGAATCAGTAAGTACCTTGAATAAAGGCACTCGGCATATTCCCCTTCCAATTCTTGTCTCCCTGTAGTTAAGAGACCCAGTTTGTTTTGAGCAGTGTCTCTTAAGAGGAAGCCTAGAAAAGAATAGTGAAATAGGATATCCAAACAATTATATTGAACAGCAATCAACTATTGTAATTCCACTAGTTACTCCAAAAAAATAGTCAAGATCTGCCATATGAAGGGAGAGGCAGTTTTGCTGTAAGGAGTCTGTTCTGTGCTCTTCCTAACCAAAACCAGATTCATATATATAAGGCAAACTAGTCAGAAGATCCAGACCTCATTTAAAATTTCTCCCTTGACATTTTTAATTATTGCTCTTGAAAAGCTGAAAGGAGGGTAAACACAATTGCTTCCCTTCCGAACAAATTAATTCTAAGAATGGACTTTAAATCCACTCTTCTCTCTTCTCATCAATACACTGAATCACAAGTTCTTCAGCAGATCCTACACTTAAGTTTAAGACTTCTCATATTAGCTAGGTAAAAATCTCAGAAGTAAAGTAATGCAGATATCAATTTTGCTAAGGCATCAGAAGCTACAGTTGTCAAAGATAACTTTGAAGTCAGTATTAATTTTGCATTTAGAGGGGTTTGGACAACATTTTAACAAAAACAAATAAAAATGGTATATCTTCATTAATGGCTGCTAGTTTCTCCAGCAAAAGAAAATTAAAAAGCAATTCCTCCCCCACCTCATTTGGCAGCTTATGTTTTAAAAGCACATTCAAATTCTCTCCAGTTAACCTAAGTCTTTAAATAGAAACAACACAAGTTTTGAGCCACACAAAGCAATTCCAGCATCAATTTTTTCTTGAAGCACCAGTGAATTATTTGAATTTCAACAAACAAAAGTTACAGAAAGCTACAGCTAAGGAAAAAAAAAAAAAAAAAAAAAAAAGAGTTACCTTAACTAAATGTGGTCTCACTAGGGTAACAACTGATGTATACCTCTCTACTACAGGAGGGAATCCTATTTCTAGCTGTGCTTTGCAGTATCCAGAGCGCTTTGATAATATATCTGACTTTTTACACCAAGGCACAAATAGTTTGTAATTCTCCACAACAGCAACAACTTCATACATTTCCTGCATAGAATACCTGGAAACAGAAACATTAACATTAATTACAAGGTATTTTAACTTCAAATTCAGTATTAAAAAGTTTCAAAGATTATATAAATGACAGTTTGGAAAGTGAACATACAGTCACCTGAAAACACTGCCACTGTTTTTGGAAATTAAACTGGTAAAAGTCTTTGCATAAAGATGCAAAACACCACACAACATCCAGCAGTAAAGTTAGTGAACAGTGAACCTGGTGTCTGCTACTTTCTGCAATACCAGGTAAATACATGTACATTTCAAATGGAAAAACAGTGTTTCCAGCACAGTTGTGTCTTCATTTAAGTAGATCTTAGACATTCCACATAAAGAATCCACACTTCATGGCTAGCAAGAAAAGGTGAATCAAAACTAAAGTACTATATTTCATTGTGTTTAAATAGAGCAACACTACTTTCCTTCTTTTAGCCCAAATAATTAATAAATTAATAAATAATAACTAAAAAATACATGCAGTGGAAAAAACTCGCAGCATCACAGAGTGGCTGAAGTTGGAAGGGACCTCTGGAGACCCCTGCTCAAGGATACCGAAATTGTATGAAAGAATATGATGGCAACATTTTAGTTGCTTCTATGGTAACATGGCAAAGTATTACATAGCTATGGTTTTTAATTTTTAGTTCTGACTCAGAAAAGAATTGAAGCCCATGCTTAATTCCATCTGTGTTTAAAATGAAGCATATGTTCAACAGTACTCAACAGTGACTACTATTGGACAAAGGCTCTTTTTAAGTGACTATGCAAAATCTGTTGCAGTTCAAGAACCATCACATAACTGACTGTTAAGCATAGTCAAAAAAACTGTGCTAATGAACAAATAGTTCATACTATTGTGGACCAGAGACTGGGGGCAGATCCCAGTCTTGTCAAATTAACTGGAATTTTCCCACTAGCTTTAAGGCAAACAGGATTTCAAAATCTTTTTTTATGTGCCTAAGTTTCTTCATCACACAACTAATTATTTTCCTTCTTTTAAAGGAAGAAGAAAATCTTGAGACGTATAACATAATGTAAGTGCAAACATTAGCATGTATTTGGGACAGAAAGGAACAAACAGAGTTTTCACACCTGTTGGTTTATTCCCATTTCAGCAAATGAAATTAATAGTGTATTCTTCCCTTTCTGGGTTGTTTGTTTTGTCATGGAATAGAAGGATTATTTCTACTATTTCTTTCTATGGGGCAAGGGTTTTAGGTTCCTACATTTTTTGTACTCAGTTTCAGACTGGAAAAGCCTGATCTCTACAAATTCTGAAAGTCAAAACTCCTTCCTAGTCTCCAACTGGGCAGAGTCACAGGGACATGTGTCTTCAGGGATGCTCAGTCTTTGAAATTCGAGTGTTTTGAATCAATCACAGCAAACACAAAATCAATAAGCATATAAAGTTTCTTTCCACACGTCTATACACACCCTATAATTCTTCTTTCAGAATATTCTTTTCTTTTATTTACTAGTGGTGCAGCAATGTTGAAGAAAGTTCTTGAAAAGGTATAGCTCATTACAGGTACTTGCAAAGAAGAAATTCTGGTCATCAGAATACCACAAGAAGCCAAGTGCCTGCAACAGTGAAAATGCTTTTAGATGTGTTTCATATCAGCAAAATAAATAACAACAAATTCAGGTGAGACAATCTGTTGTATAACATTCCAGAAAATGTCAGATTCAGATGGAGAAACAAAGGCTCATAACAGTATACATACTGTTAAAAACACAAGGGGGATTTTTTTTTTTCCCCCCTTAGGAGAAAACTAAAAATAGCCCCCAGTCACAAGAAAAGTAACTGGCAGAGTAAAATACAAAAGGCCCTATTAAATGTTGACTTCATGGCAGCCTGAGCTCCTGTACAAGCCTCATATGCACTTAATTTGCAGAACAGGCTTTCTTAATAGCAAAATCAAGGAAGAGAATGTTCTAACTGGAAATAAAACCTGAGCTTTGCTATAATCCCTCTGTTTCCGTCCTTCCCTCAAAAGGACAGTTTCATTTTGAAAGTCCTTTCAGAAAGTGAATTGCTTACCCAGCTTTCAAAACTTCCTTCAGAAAAATCATGCAAAACCTTGGACACAGTGTTTTTATCCATAAAATGTAACAAATAACCTTTAAAAATGCTAGTAATTCTAAGATTGCACCTCAGTGTTCTCTGTCAGTGAACATCTACGCTAAAATCTAACAAATATTCATTGTGATTAATAGGTCTGTTCTACCAAATTGTTGGTTTGGCCTAGATCAAGTCAGTTAAGATGCAAAATGCTAGCTCAAAAGTTCTGATTTTTGCCACCAGGGAGTTAAAAATGCCACTATTTTCTGTCAGTGATTCTACAAACATAAGCTGAAAAGCCACCTAGGTCTTATACTGTCCTTTCTCTAATTAAACAATCAGGACTGTACTTCTGCATTCACATAGTAAAAAATGGAACCAATATTCCCCACTTAGCATTAAGGCTTGTTTGGTGGTTTGTTTGGTTGTTTTGGTGGGGTTTTTTTGAACACAATTAACATGTAGATGCAATTTTTTAGTAACCACCAAAGTAGTCTAGCAAATTACAGTTACCAATTTTAAACAATTAAAATTATTATTAACAAGTTATTTAAAAATCATCATAACTGAATTCTAAAGAAACACAGCAACAACCGGGGACTGACCACATTAGCTTATATAGTCACTGCATTAGGAGACAGGCAAGTAATAAATTGAGTATAGAATTTAGAGGAAAATAATCATCATCAGCAGCTTATTAGAAACAATCTGTACAGACTTTTAAAAAAAAAATAAGCAACTGTGATACGAAGCAAGGTCACTGACAACAGAGATTGTAATCACTGCAGTTGAAAAGGAATTACTTAAGATGGGACAGAAGTATGGCGTCAAAATTAAGAAAGAATAGGTGGACTTTAAAGGTCTTTTGACAAACTGTGCAAACGTTTGCAACTGTATCTCAAGGGATGTGGACACAGTCTGGTTTTTTTCCACACAGACTGGACAAGACTGTTAAGGAAAAACGTTGTTTTGACAGAAATGCTGGAAGGGTGCCAGTAACATTGTAGCTGCCTCAACCAGATTCATAGAAAGTGTTCAAATGTTTGCACCAGACCTCATTCTGGAGAGCTATTTTAAATTGCTTTCTCTATGTGGGGCTATGTATAGTATACAGTCCAAACTAGTTGCCAGGTTTCTTCACTTGGTTTGGTTTTTACTGTAATGCTATGCCAGTGTATTTTTCCATACAGTTTTATCTAGAGTTGTTTCAGCTACAAGGCTGAAAAACAATCTCTATGAATAATCTTTTATCTTCTGTTAAGACAATGTCCTTTTCACAAATATATTGCCATTCAAGGAAGGCAAGGCTAAGAGAGGTTATAATGCTAACAAACATGGTGACACTTCATCACTCTCCTGATTTTATCTGAAGAAAAACAGATGCTATGAGAATATGCTGGGCTCGGTCCTGTTCAGAAAAGCATACCTCTTCAAGAAATCACAAAAGCACAGATTTCAACAGACTGTCACACATGTTTTTGTAAACCTGATCAAGGCCACAGAAGAAAAGCCAAGTCTGTACTAGAATTCAGACACACCTACCACCTCTGTATTTATCCTCTGACAGTGATACAGCCAATACCCACTCACACTGCCTTCACTGGCATCACTGAATTCCTGCCACTCGCTGCTTTCTCTCTAAACACTTGGGCACTGATCACAGTATCACCTCACTTCCATGACCAGTAAAGGAAGCATTTACTGGTGTACAGTATACATACCCAAGAGATCTATATTCAGTGATAATTTTTAATAGCTACAAAATTTTCTAAGCCTAAAGATTAACGTATTTTTTAAAAAAGGGATCTCGAACTCCTGACTATAAAGACTCAAATTAGTGGCAAGGGCATGACAGGACAATTGTGTTTACTGTTATCCCAACTGTTACTTCCATAAGGTTAGTGGTATCTGATGGCCATTTTATGGTCTGTGAGACATGAGTTGATCTCATTCAAATTTTGTCGACAGCTGTTCACATCCCAAAAAATGAGCGTTGCCAACAAGTGTCCTCATTAGCATCTCGGTCTGAATAAGCACAAGAGACCAATTTACCACCTGAGTCCTTGAAGTCTGCTACTCAGCACAGTAAGGGGTCCACCGAGTTGACAACAGGTACATAGTGTACACCAATGACAACTGCAAGACGTGAAAGCATACGCAGCTTCAAGGCTACAAATAATACAGCACCGTTTTGGATTCAGCTTGCGCTTGCTTAAAACCAGCTGCCAAGATTCTTGTGGCTTACACTAGAAACATTTTGAAACTTAATTTGCAACCAGTTACTTAATGAGTTTCCTTATGCTGAACACCCTTCCCGGTAACTGCTTTTGCCCTCAAGACTTTAATATATTACTTTAAAAAACAGCAGTTTTGCTTACCAGGATTGAACTATTGTAATATTGCAAACACATCCTAAAGATTAAAAAACAAAGGATATACAGTAAGAAACGTGGTCCAAGTAAGATGACTTTATACCACTGCGCAATAGCAATTATGTCAAATGACTGCTTGAAATTTGACATCGTGAACCAATCTCTATTCCACTTTTTCACTATTTTTATGAGGATGACAGTAAGACTGAATTTAACAGAGAAACACAGCAGCACAGCCATAACAGTAGTAACAGGTGAAACCTTTTTCCTCCTAAGATTTTCAAATTGCAGTCTTTCTCTCTCATCTGTGTTTTCTTTTTCTTCCAGCTACAAGATCAACTCTTCTCCCAAAGCATATTTTGCTTCTCAAGTTGTTCCAGCCAGCCTTACATGTGATCAGGGGATAAGGAACTTGTTACATTATCTTAAGTGGAAGACATCTGGGCCTTTTACTCAGCTTCTGATTTCTGTCGTGGATTGCTCACAGTTATGCAATTGGCTCAAGCAAAGAAGAGGCAAGTTTACAATCCGAAAATCGTTTGTTCTTGCCCCGACACTGACCGCGCCGAAAGGAGCCGAGGACACCCCAGCCGCCCCCGCCCCCGGAACGCAGAGCCGGAGGCGACCTGGCAGCACCTTCCCTCTCCCCCTTCCCCGAAGCCACCAGCTTCCACCCGGGGCGGCACCGGGCAGCGCAACGGTCCCCCGGGCGGGGCTCGCCGGGCAGGGGCTCGCCCAGCAGCGCCCCGCGGGGCTACAGGCAGCCCGGGAGCGTTCACTCTGGAGCGTACTGAGGCACCGCCCGCCTCAGGCGGCCCCACCCCGCCCCCGGGCCC